GTGGCGTAGTTCTCGTCCGTGGCCTTGTTCATTCGCTCATCACCATCCGCTGCCAGGGACTCTTGTACACCACGCACCACCGCTTCCGCGAGCTCCTTGGTATAGACCTGGGCTCGCTGGCTGTTTCCGCCAAGAACTTGGCCATGGGCATCCGGTGCGCAGCTGCATGGTAGGGCTACTCGTTCCAAGACTCGAGGAAGATCGGTCATCCACCCCGTCGGCTTCTTGAGGGGCCGTTCCGAAGCGTCCTTCAGATTGAAGGCACACATGCACCCAACTTGGAAACTCACGTCAGGAACTTGGCGCAGTCTTTGAACGGCTGGGTGCTTCCAGAAGTCGGTGTATGCCGGGTTCTCGAGAAGAAAATGTCCTCCGTAGGTAGACTTGGCCTTCTGGATCAAGTGGACCATTCGCTTGATGGCCTGGTCCTGTTGGTCCCGCAACACTTGTAGTTCTTCACGAGGTTGGATGTTGGACCACGCGGTGCAAGGAATCTCATAGACCAGGAGGTAAGGCCGATGTCGAAGGACGAGGTTCTCCAGCTGGTCGTAGTCGCTCTTGCGCCGTAGCTCCCAGCCATACACCTTATCAACCGGTTGTAAGGCTCGAAGTCCAACTCGAAGAGCCTGGGCGGTGATCTCCGCATTGCCGCCGTAGATCTCGAGGAGGTCCGAGCGGAAGTTGCGCATAGAGCGCGCCCGCCTGGCACGGTTCAGGTACACCTCCTGTTCTACCAACCACATAGACCGCACTGCCCTTTGATTTCCTAGGACACGCTTGATCATGCCCGGCTTCACAGAAAAGGCACCGCGGTCATCCGGTAGAAGGGGCTCGTCGGGAGAGCCTCGAAGAACATCACCACGAAGACGAGGTTGTACAGGAGGATGTGCAGCTAGCGGGTTTCCTGATCCAAGATATACTCGTCGTCCGGAATCAGGTCGTTGGGATCGAACTGGCTGCCCTCGGAGCCTTCCAGCTGGTCGCGGTTGTCCATGAAGAAGTTTGGCTCCTCCCAATTTGCCCAATCCTGATCGTAAGTTCCCGCACTGCGTCTGTCCACACTCATGCGGTCCGTGTCCGATGCCGGTGGGCTTCCCATCCATGTTCGACGCTGACTCGGAGGTGGAGGAGCCGTGGGTTTCGCACGGGCCGTCAGTCGCGTCGGAGAGGATCGTCTCATAGCCATAGCCGCCGGAGGAGCCCGAACAGATCCCCGCCAGGATGTTGAGGAGGGACGCAAGGAGGCGGGGTACGCTGCACCGAGGTCCTCGTTGTCGTACTGGTGGCTTCCGCTTGCGGCCTTGGCCTTGGGCTTCTTGCTCTCTCGCTCCCTGCGCAGCGCTTGGACCACTCTCTCCGGAAGGTCGAGCGGGGTTTTTGCTTGAGGTGAGGCCTTGGGAGTCGCAGGCACCTGATTGCCATTCGGCATCACCACCCATCGGGAACCGCACACGTCGCAAATCCTCACCTTGGTGCCCCCGCCTCCGTACGCTCGCAGTCCTGAGGGATGGCTGCATTGGTCCGGCTTCTTCATGTAGGACTGGTTCGTCAGGGCCGTCTGAGCCGCTATGGCTCCCACCGTGCTCAGCACTGAGGTAGCCGTCGACGGGACCCCATAGTTCCGCAGGACGAGGTCCGGAGTGACTGAGTAAAGCAGCACCATTTGTTGGACGCTGTTCACGAAGCCCAGGAGGCCTTGTAGTAGAGCTCGCCAACGAACCAGCCATTGCGGAGGTGCCTCTCGGGGCATGCGGAGGAGGTTGCGCTGGGCTTGTCGTAGTTTCCAACACACTTGGGCGATCAAAAGCTGCCGGGTGAATGACGGGTAAATCACGTGGCACACTGCTTGGGGGCCAGGGAAAGGATTCTTTGCCCCACTCATCAAGACGGATAGCCAAGTGTCCACAAGGGGACAACCACAACCTTGATGTGCACTTAAGCGCCCTAAAGTACACAGAGCCTGTATGAACGTCCGGAACTGCACCAAAAGCTTCGAAAGCCCTTCTCGAAAGCAAAGCTGGGGCCTTGGCGGCGACCACACTCACCGACAAACTGAACTGGACACCTGCAATGGCCACCGGGTACACATGTCGACCAACAGAAGTGACAGGAGCACTCGGACCGAACGAGAACTTGCACTTGTCGGGGAACTCAAGCCTCTTGAGGGGACGGATTTCCTGGGCTTTCTGGTCGTGCCACGCTTGGCCTGCTACTTGACGCTGGCATCCAGTGTCCGCTATGATGTATGCCGAGCAAGGTCCTTCGCAGTACTGCAGTAGAACACTAGGAGATCTAGCGATTTTGGGCTCAAAGTCTTGAAGCGGAGGAAGCTGGAAGTAAACCTTCTTTTTGCTCGGCATAGCGACATGAAGCATCTGAACGTCCGATGGGGCCGGGTCGATGGCGCTCGAGGAGGTTGTCCAGCTGGAGTGAATCTCGACCGCCCCGTCGGCATCCAAACAAACCCCAGGCAAGCTGGCTGACGCCAGCTGAGCGTTCTGCACGTTGAAGTTGGGACAGTCTCTAAGCCAGTGATCTGCAGAGCCGCAGCCCAGGCACAGACTACCTTGGAGTCTCTGTTGCTGGAGGGCAGATTGAGCGTCCAACTTGCCGCGCCCCTTGCCCTTCGACTTGCCACTGCCTTTCGTGCCTGGTTTGCCCTGCTTGCCCTTGCCCTTTCCGGACGAAGGAAAGCCCTTCTTGCCCTTGCCAGAAGAAGCGGGGACGCCCTTAGTCTGGTAGAAGCCTCTCGACTGCGCAAGGCCTGCCAGCTTCTTCGAGGTGACCGTCAATGCCTGCGCGGCTTCGGCGAGAGCGTTACCGACCGAGTCGGAGACTGGCCACTCAGCCCATTCCTCGGCCTCGTTGAGCTGAGTCTCGTCCTGGTCCC